GTCCCAGGCCCTAGGGGAAAACCTTCTCCTACTGTTTTGCAAAGTGGACGTAGTGCGTTAAGCTGACTCCTAAGGACTCACTGTTATACCTATAGATCAATGCATCTCAGTCCACACAGAGACGTTCCTGTTTGCAGTAGATGAATAACACAGAGACACAGCTGGCCAAGGTGGAGAGAGCAAGAGACTGAGGAATGTTCAGTCCTACATGGAACATCTACACTGTGTCCTCTCCCCAAGCCTCAGGAATCATTGTGTAAGAAAGGGCAGAAGGACTGTGAGAGTCAGAGCTGGTGAGTGTGCACAAAGAAACAGTATCTTCCAGGTCAGAGCAGAGCTGGTGAGTGTGCACAAACAAAGAAACAGTATCCTCCAGGTGAGAGTCAGAGCTGGTGAGTGTGCACAAAGAAACAGTATCTTCCAGGTGTAACAGGGCAGCTGCAGTAGGAACTGACAGCAGTTAGGACAGCGTGCACACAACCCATGCAAGCTCCAGCCTGAGCAGATCCCGCCAGGAGAGAGGAGATAGATGGGCATGAAGCCCCGCCTAGACCAAGGAGCTGTTAGCAGTTGATAGCTGCTGGAGGAGAATCACGGTTTTCTTCTTTTTTTCCCCTTTTATTGAAAATAGATTTTATTTCTCACATGATATATCCTGATTACAGTTTCCCCTCCCTCTACTCCTCTGAGTTCCTGCCCACCTCCCCCTCCCATCCATATCCACTCCCTTTCTGTCTCTTTAAGAAACAGTGGGCTTCTAAGGAATAGTAATAAAATAATAAAATAGGATAAAACAAAAGCTAAAACACAACAGTTGAACCAAACAAAACCTCCAAAGGAAGATAGCCCAAGAAAAGCAGAAGAATCAAGAGAGCCGGCTCATTTGCATGCTCAGAAATCCCATACTACTAAACTGGAAGCCGTAACATACATGCAGAGGACCCTACACAGACCCAGGCAGGTCGTGTGCACGGTGCCTCAGTCTCTACGGTCTCATATGAGGTTAGACCATGCTGTGGAATCAGGTTTTTTAAAAAAGAGTGTTGTTGCCACTGGAAGGCTGACCTTATGCCAGCGGGAGGCCACATTCCCAAGAGCACATGGGCCCCACAGCTTGGACTTGACAGGCAGAGAAAAAACATATAAAGAGGACCCAAAGTTAATGCCTAGAGAGAGGCTGGGGGAGGGGCTAGGAGAAGCTGGGGGAGGGGTGGATACGGTCAATTTCATTGTAGAAAATTCTCAAAGGACTAATAAAATATAAAAAAAAACTGATGAAAAATCAAACCATTTTGTAGAAAAGCATGTATCACTTTTTGGGAGAAGTGGAAAATAAAGGACACCAAATAACTCTTCACCTTTTTATGTTGAAAGTCCACATATAAACAATAAACAATAAAGTTCTCCTCAGACAAGTTTTCCTCCCTAAGATTCTTAAAGACACCCTGCCCCCCAGTCACACACACTGCCTGTCCAAAAAGCTAGGAAAATATTCTGAAAAATTCTTCCGGGCAATTACATCAAGTCCAGAAAGGAAGCAGAGATCCTTGATATTTATTTGGTGTTTGCTTTGATGCCTTTAAAAAAAAATGCTGGGTTGAAGAGATGCTCACTGGGTGAGCTCTTGCTGTGTGGCTGTGAGGACCAGAGTTCGGATCCCCAGAACCCACATAAATGCTGTGGCCATGGCAGCCTGCCCATAATCCCAGCACTCAGAGGCAGAGATGGAGGATCACAGAGAAAGCTGGCTAGCCAGATCAGCCAAATCAGTGAGCTCTGGGAATATGGTGGAGAAGTCAAGGAGATTCCCAACATCAATTTCCAGTCGTCACATGTATGTACACACATAAAAGAGAGGAAATAAAGTCAAGAGCATCCTAAATTGTGAAGCAAGAAAGTGGCAATCCCTCAGTCATTACTGATTTATGTGCCAATAATATGGAGTTTATCATCTGATATAAGAAGTGCTCACACGTATATAATTGTCCTACTTAAGCCTAACCGTACAAAACCATTCACTTCCCCACGCTTAGCATTAGTGATGGCGTCTTGGGGAATTACTCTGGATATCTGTCTTTGTAACTTCATATAGTATTGGGAAAAATCTATGTTTAATGCCTGGAAAATAAAGGTGAACTGTTTGGGGATATTTCTTTCTTATTAGTGCTCCAATGAGCCACCGCGTACTTAACAAGTTGATAGTCTCCTTGGAAATGCTAAGAAGTGTTCAGTAATTTATAAGTTGTTGGGAAAAGCATCTAAAAGACACTATATCTGTTTTCCAAATGTATGGACTCAAAGTAAGAAAAATCAATGAAAAATCAAATTGCTTTATATTAAATGTATATCACTTTTTGGGGAGGCCATCAGTAATTTTTTACCTTAGCTTCATCTCCCCAAGACATTGACGTCAACGAGAAAAACTGTAACTATGTGTAAACAAAACAAAACAAAACAAAAACTAACAAGCAAAAACAGTGATGCCATCTTGACCAAGAGTCTCAGGCCAGCACCACCAAGAATAAGACATGACATCATGTGCTAGACAGGACAGGCTGAGAAGGCCCTAATACTGGTCCTGGAGAATTCCTGTCCCAAATGCATGATTTTATCACAGCGAACTAAAGGAAGTGATAATATTATACAAAAACCTACTAGTCCACTTCCCAAATGTGAAGTTTCCAAAAGCAGTGAGAGGCGGGACTCAATAGGTTACATCTCTCTGTACGTTATACATGTATATGCATATATGTAATGACAATTGTAGAAGAAGCGGTTGTGAGCGAGGGGAGAGGTGATGGAGATACATGAAACACTCTTGTGTGAATTCTTCAGAAACAAAAGAATAATAAAGTAAAATATTTAAGTTAACAACACAGAGTGATTTTTAGCTCTTTATGGAGCAGTACAACTGTCACTATACTTGACTTTAGACATTTTCATTGTCCCAGAAGGAGCCTATACAAGTGGCTGCCCCCCTCAGTCACCCCATTCCCCCGAGTCCCAGCTGATTGCCAGTCCCGTCTCACTGCCGTGGAGTTGTCTCTGGACGGCCCTTGGATCCTCTGGGACTGCTTTCGTTCATAGCGATTACTTTTTGTCATTTGCTCTTACAGAAACTAGCCTCTATGATTATCAATAGTATAGTTACACTTCTGCCTTAAGGTGTACTAGCTCTAAATTATATCTACTGACTCGCCAGTTTGAAAATGACATTAATAGCGATTAAAATTCTTCTTCTCTAACACCTCTCTCCCCCGCTTCCGATTAAGTAGTCTTGCTGTGCTTTTTAGATCTGTTACTGGGCTCTTCGACAACTTTACCTTACACGTGGGACTATTTTCCCCCTTTCCGAATGGAGGACACAGAGGCCTTACATCTAGGAAGCTCCGAGGCTTGCTCTTTACTTCTGCATAACCAGAGCCGGTAGTGTCTATGTTATGGTTCACAACAGCCTTCTGTGAATGGGTTAAAGGAGGATTCTAGAAACCAATGTCCAGCACACATGGCTATCTTACTTGGTTCATGGAAATGTCGACGGCAGAACCAAGTGAGAGAGCCTAATCGTATTTTCCCCTACATGGCTTCAGCCCTATACTCCAGTGCCAGCCGAAAGCAATGCCCTCATTCACTGACAAACAGATCACTTTATACAAGCCTCTGCTGCCTCTGCTCCCTCTGCCACCGCCTCCTCTTCCTTCTCATCCATGTCCTCAGCAGGGTCTTACTGCGCAGCCCAGCCTGTTTTCTCTGTAATCCCCCCAGGCTCAGGCTCCTGAGTGCTCGGATTATGGGTGTGTTTCCCTATGCCTCGCCTGTTTTCTTCCTTTTCATAGCTGCATTTGTTCTTCTTATAGAATAAATACATGCTTTCACCTTGAAGGTTGTCCAGCCATTCTTTGGTATGGGCCATGGGGGTACATGCAGACGCCATAGAGATCGCCAACAATACTAGTCAGTCCTAATCTCTCAACTCCCGGAGAGCTCAGTGCTAAAGATTTATTAACGCGTGAGTCGTGAGAGGTTGACAAGGCAGCGTCATTTGGGGATGTGTGGGTAAGGTTTTAGCTTCCATGCCCCACAGCTAAGACCCTAGCCCTTTCAGACACCTGGATGACAGGCCTGGCTTTTGTCAGTCTGGGTAGATAACACCCTTCTGTGCCACAGCGAAGAGCCTTTGCCTATGAAATGGCAAACACATTTTTTTTTCTAGAAAATTATGTAATTATGTTTCTGTATTTGTCTTTTTAGTTCTGTTGACTGAATCAGGACCTCACCCATGGCAGGTGAACACTCTTATCAGTGAGCTAGCTCAGTCCATCTTTATCTTTACTTAATTTTTACATTGAAGGCCTGCACTGTTGGGTCTAGCTGAAACCTTGAAGAATGATCTTCACTTGTTGTTTTGTTTTGTGAGACAGGGTCTCACTATGTAGCTCTGGATGTCTAGGAACTTACTATGTATACCAGGCTGGTTTCTACTTCTCTCAGGCACCTGGTCTGGTCTCAGAGACTTCTTTGCTGCTTGACTTGTCTGAGAGGGACTCTCAGCTTTTATTGCTTACTCTGGCAGTGAGGGGTCCCAGTGGGTCTGCTCAGCTTCAAGGACTTCCTGGAGCTATTTTAATTGTTTGCCCTCTGGTTGGAGGAGTTTCCTGCAGGATGGAATGTTTCAACCCTGGAGGAAACTGTTAGATAATATGCGGGTCTTGGTCTTTTCATCAATTGTGGTAGGGGTGGGGATGCTAACCAGCAAACCTGTTATGAGTAAAAATTTTTACATATGGATTATTTTAGAGCTGCGTGGTTTTCTATTTCCTTCATGTTTTATATTTTATGAAGAAAAATCTAGTACTCATATTAATCTCTACAAGTAAATATAATACTCCATTCTCCTTTGTGTCCTCATATACCTGCCCAGATCACAGTCACCCACGTCATGCCTTCAGAAAGAAAACAGAGTGAATGGGACAAACCTCCAAGGGCTGCCAGGCACTCACCGACTCAGGATGAAATTGTCTTCCTTAGGAGCAAATCTCCCTGGCAGGCAGGTAACAGGAGAGAACGGTGGGGCAGAAACAAGGCTGTAAATGAGTAATGCTGATAGCTGGCGCTGTGTTGTTTCAAGGTTCACGGTACACTTGTCTCTCTAATGATCGTGTACGCCCACAGCTGCAAAAATCACCCATAAGAACATTCATGATTCTGGGTTTTGTCAAAATACCACTTGGGCTTTCAGGGCTAGTTTAAAATTCTGCTGAGTGTTTTCCCAACGCTCGACTTCTGTCTGCGAGGGAGGAGGGGGCAGGGGGCCTGAAAGGAAAGGAAGCAGGGGTGGCTCATTTGTTTTTCTTCTTCATCACTTCCAGGCCGTCATTGGCTGACACAGGCAATTAACACAAGCCGGATAAGATAGGATTCTGTGCTTGGCTGCATTTCTCAGAACAACTACCCTCTCCCCTCATTAGAGACCGGTCTGGTTAGAAACCAAAGTGTGGCCTCTACTGGGTAACCCAGTCTTTTGTGATAGGGACCAGACCTGACCTTAACACAACTGACTCCATGATGGAAGTGTCATTCAGGCTGTAAGACCCTGCACATAGACAGCACCCTGTGCCGAGAATGAAAACAAAGACCTAACCCATCAAAGGTCTGTAACGCGCTTTTTAGCTTCTGTAGCTCTGCTTCTGGTGACCTGGTCTATTTAACTGAAGTATGTTAACCCAGAACATGGGTTTTGTGTTTAAGAGCTCAACCTGAGAAAGGTTGGATGCCGCACTGGGATCTGGAGCACCTAGTGAAGTTGCCAGTCAGCTAACCAAGACTTTTTATGGGCTTAAACCCATGCCCAAGCAGTTTTCTCTAATGAATACCCCACGACACACAGACCCATATTGGTACCCAGTGTCCCACATATCATGGTCAACTGGGATTGTGTGCTGTGAGTATTGCAAGTACTTTTTATTGATGGGGCATCACGGAACAGTGTGGGCATGCCTATTGACCTGTCTCCTCTATCCACAGACCTGTTCCAGTGTTTCCCCAGACTTCACTTACAAAATATGTACAAAAATAAAATTATTAAGAATTCCAAGATGGGGTACTGGAGAGATGGCTCAGCAGTTAAAAGCACTGACTGCTCTTCTGGAGGACCTGGGTTCATTTCCCAGCACCTACATGGCAGCTCAAAGCTGGGCATTTTTCAAGTTTCAGGAGATCTGGCACCCTCACACAGACACACACACAGTCAAAACACCACATAAAAATAAATAAATTTTTAAAAATTTCCAAGATGAGGACACCAGAGCCCTAGTGAAGTATAGGATCTTCTGAGTGTGTTGTATGGGTGATCACACAGGCCACAGGCTCACTCAGATACCTCAGGTTTTATTTACCCTTTCAAAAAGTATTAAAAATGTCCCAAGGGTTAAAGATAGATCTATTGGTAAAGCAACCTTGCGGGGATGAGGACCTGAATTCAATGTCAGAACCCAGGTAAAAATGCCAGGCGTGGTGGTGTGTGTTTGTAATGTCTGTGCAGAGGACAGGAGGACAGGAGGATGGCTGGAGCTCTTTGGCTGGTCAGTCTAGACCACTTGGTAAGCTCAAGGCCAATGAGAGACCTGGTCTGAAAGGAAGGAGACGGTATTCCGGAGGATGACACCCAGGATTGTGTGCCCATGAATATACCCAGATATCTGCACACATATGAACACCCTACACACATAAACGCCCTCGCATTAAGAAAGAATGCTCAACGGGTTCAGCATAGATATTAATCCCCTCCCAGTCCCATTTTTTGTTAGTAACACTCTTGGTGACAAGCTCTCTGTCCCAAGCTTTGGAGACAGACAATATTGATTGGAGTCTCAAGTTCAGTGTTTATTATGTGAAATTGGACAAATTTCTAAACCTTTCTTAGTTTCAGTTTTGTCCAATGTGAAAATTCAACTGAGGAGCTATTTACGGTGGTGGCAAGGATCGAGGGAATGAGGAACAAACATCTGTCCTAGGGGTCCCATGGAGCAGTGTTCAGAGTGATTGCAGTTTTTATTACTGAGAGTGTGAGTCATGCGTTCAGGGAACAGCGTACGCCAAAGGGCCCGAGATGAACACACAGCTGGGTCAGCTCATGAACTTGGATCAGTCACAGGAAGGATCAATCACGACCGCCCACTTGACTAGATTTAGTATCACTCAGGAGACACCTCTGCACCTGTCTCTGGGGGTGTTTTCAGAGAGGGTTGACTGAGGAAGAGAGAGAGGCTCACCTTGAGTGTTGGGGGCACCATCTGATGACATGGGGTCCTGGATACGTAGAGAAGGGGAAAGAGACAAGCATCACGGCAACACCAGCCTTTCTCGTTCTTCACTTCCTCTTCTGCCAAGCTGCGAGCAAACCTCCTCCAGCTGCCATGGACGGGATCCTGCAACAGCGTCCTCAGACCTGAGTAAAGATGGACCATTCCTCCTTAACTGCCCAGGCGTGTGGTCACAGGAATGAAAGAAGTATTGAATGGAGCCGTATTCCTTTTCCATATCTGGGATCCCCAGCCTTAAGTGCAGTAACCTGCCTATTTCATACAGGGATTTCAGATGAGAGACTGTATATGAAAATACCTGTAACAAAATACAGATGTCAGGGGGAGAAGTGAGGGTGAATATGATCAAAATGCACCGTATGAAATTTTTGAAGAACAAAAATAATCTATATGAAATTTTTAACAAGTTAGAAAATCATCCTGTCCAATGAAAGCCAGCCTGTCTTTGCTTCCTAATACAAAATACACTGAACCTAGAAAAAAAATACAGGCGTTCAAAACAGATATATCTGGGTGTGGTGGTGGTGAATGCCTTTAATCCCAGCACTTGGGAGGCAGAGGCAGGTAGCTCTCTGAGTTTGAGGCCAGCCTGGTCTACAGAGAGAGTTCCAGGACAGGCTCTAAAGCTACATGGAGAAACCCTATCTCAAAAAACAAATCAAAACAAACAAAAGCACTGGGTCACACCTTTCGCTGTTTTATCCAACCTTACATCTCAAGAACTTTCCATGTCTTAAATGTGCTTCCACAATGAATTTCATGGTAGGTGGGTAGCGCACTGGACAGATTTCTTCTTCTTTGGACCGTGAGGTTAGTTTCTGATTCAGGAACACTTAACCCTAAAATAATTTTGGGTCCATAAATGTTTATGTCTTTCCAACGAGTTTTCTTGTGTAAGTTCCTAGAAACTGGAATGGGCCAAAGGGTTCTTTTTTCACATTGCCATACTGCCTTCCAGGGATGTTTACTCGCCTTTAGAATGGTTGAAAGTAGGGAGGCAAAGGTACCAAACATGGAGAAATTCATAAAAAGAACTAATGCTGTACTCAGAGCCCTAATTCTAAGATGGTGACAGAGCCTGCTGATGGAGCTGCCTGTGCCACAGCAGGGCAAGTGATCAACCACTCACCACACAGTGGTGGTTAGCATTACATCTGAGAAAACTTCTGCCTTCCTCTCTCTGTACGCATTATTTTTTTGTTTGTTTTTTGGAAACAAGATTTCTCTGTGTAGCCCTGGCTGTCATGAAACTCACTTTGTTGACCAAGCTGACTTTGAACTCACAGAAATCCACCTTCTTCTACTTCCTGAGTGCATGGATTAAAGGCATGTGCCACCACGGTCTGACTCTTGGTGGCTTCTTATCCTGACATCTCATTCTGTGGTGAACTCTGCCCCTTCTTCAGCCAAAGGCATAGAGGCATGGTATGTCGTGGTCATGTGTGCAAAACAAGAAGCTACAGCATTCAAGGCTTACACTTGACTCTTGTGTGCACAGCAATGGCTGTAGAGGTGCTAGGTTTAATGTTTTTTTTTTTTTTTCCCGCGGCAGTGTTTCTCTGTGGTTTTGGAGCCTGTCCTGGAACTAGCTCTTGTAGACCAGGCTGGTCTCGAACTCACAGAGATCCTCCTGCCTCTGCCTCCCAAGTGCTGGGATTAAAGGCGTGCGCCACCACCGCCCGGCTTTAATGTTTGTGTTTTAAGATTCATTATTTGTATGTGTGTGTGTATGCGTGTGTTTGCCTGCATATATATATA